TGTCACTATTTTTATTTTCTTTTGGAGCGATTGCTCGTAAAGCAAAAATCACGTGCTTACATGGTAAACTAAAGTTACGATTAAATTTATTTTTTGAAGAGTGAATACTACAGTAACTTTAATTAAAAGATATGTGCACCCGTTAAGAGTATGGCAATCTATAACTTTGAGTCATGGGGATCACGTCACTGAATTCGAGAAATTCTTTTGCATATACAAATGTTCCACATTTGCTTATTGATGAATCCAACCGTGCAAAAGTGACTAGTGAGGCTTCCTCAATTGTTAAAGCACTTCACTCGAGATTGTTAGGTCGTAAGTTCGAGTCACGCTAGAAAAAAATTATGTGCAAAACTACCCCTAAACCAAGCACAGTAACTGAGAGAACTTAGTGATTTTTTTTTTCCGGGAAGAGAAACAAAGCAATAAAAAAATTCGCTACAAATCAAGAGAAGAGATGAAATGCAACATCTCCCGCTGCACGCGAAGAAATGCTTGAAAACACAGTGTAATTATCAATTTGTAAGGCAATACAACTCCACCCATGTCCCAGACTTCTCGAAGACCTGCAAGAACTCCCCAAAAGCTCAATTGTAAAGAAGGTGTAGACCTTATTCTTCAAGCTGCTTGAACCATATACCGCAATATACTGTTTTCATGCTTAGGTAATATTATTGATGGGTCTCACTTGAAAAAAAAAGTGAAAAATCAATAATTCGTGAAAATTATAAGATAATACATGCTTATACACAATAAATCCACTTGACATAAGTGTACGTGGAGTGTTTTAGCTTGTCACAAACAAGATAGACACATGACAAGTTGACAACGTATAATAAGATTACTTATATTATAATATTAATTTGGTTAACAAACACAATATTAACAATGTCACTCGGTAGAGTACGTACTTATATACTTGCAATATGAAATATCTATATATATATTAAACCAAGAAAATAACCATATATAATTAACATTATGGTTAAGCCAAGTGACAAGCTAATAAATGTCAATAGTATATGGTAACTTTATTCTATATTTGACTATTTTAGTTAAATACAAATAATATATATATATATACACACACATACACACACACGGAATTTGAATTAAAACATAATTTTGAACTTATAGATAAAGTTCTAAAATTCAAAAAATTTATCTTTTTTTATCATGTTATTATACTTAATTCGTTAATGAGCATATCCAATCATGTTAGAAAATTTTGTTCTTTTTTATAATTATTGAAATACTACTTCGCTGACCCTCTCTTCCAGATCCTCGCTTCTATGAGCCAAATCACTCTCCTCGGGAGTTCTCTCCTTGACTACACCCTCCTCGGCTTTGTTACCCAAACACTCATCCTGAGCAATCTCTTCCGGCTCAGCAGTGTCCAGATCTGGCATCTTTGCCTCTTCTTGTTCAGGGTCCTCTAGAACCGTAAAACGGTTCGGGCTGACTAGGTCCAGTTGGGTCATTTCACTCGCACAACTAGTGTCCAGCCCCCCTTTGCTATTGTCACTACTGGTACCTGACCCCGTCGGCTCGACATTTTTGCAAACACCGACCCTTACTCAATAGGGCAATTCAAAGAGGAGAAAAAAAAACTACTCCATATAACTATAAAAACTCTTTCACATTTAAAATCTTATAAGTATAGTTCTTTGAAACACTGTAGCTAGATTTGAATAAAATATTTTTTTTAAAAAAAATAAATGTAATATGTAGGGTACACGTCTATGTTTATCTAAATAACAAAAAAAGTTTATAAAACCAAATAAAAATTTACTTACATATATAATAAAGTAAACGTATATGCTGGAGAAAGAAACATCACAAAATCAGTCAATATTAAAATAAAAAAAAAGTTGTTTCTTTTTTCTTCTTGAAGAATATTTGTTTGAAGAGTCAATTTGCATAAATGGACATCAAACAAATAACAAAACTTCTATACAATTGCTATCATTAATTTCAGTTTAGCACATTCAAGGAATTGAAGGGTATAAGCTGAAACTCCTTCATTTAGCTGTAGTCAAGGCATTGCCAGGGTATAATATTTTTTTTCGTTGAAGAATATTAGTTTGAATCATTAGATTATGTGAAAGGATTTTTTTTCAAAGTCAACAAGAGATAAATTGGTTTCTAATTGATAGTTTCTATAGCAACTTTTAAATGTATTAAAGAGTATATATAAAGAAAAAATTGGTATGACTTGATTTTTTTTTAAAATGTAAATAAATTATTTCGAAAAATCTCTTTACTTTTTTTTTAATTCAAAGATAATAAAAAGATAAGATATTTTTGAACATTAGTAGAGAGTTTTAAAATTATTATAATAGAAGTTATATCATGGATAAACTCAAAAAACTGAAATCTTATGGAATATTTACATAGTATCCAGCCATATTTATTGTTTACTTTTTATAGCTAATATAAATAGATGATATACCGACAACACATGATTATACACATATTATATATGGATTATATAAATTACACATCATTCAATTTTTTAATTTAAGTGATCGAGTGAGCACCTATTTAAGCTAATTAAATAAAGCCAAAAGAAAAATATGAAATAATTTCAACCAAACACTAAAAATATAATTAGAGTTCATATGTAGACAATTTTTATTAAAATTCATCCTTTTATAGTAACAACAAAAATAATGACATAAAAAATAATATAAAAGAAATAAATATTGGAAAAATATTAGAAAGATCTAAAAACGAGAAATAAAAGATGACAACAAATTTCTTCTTATGTTTCATCTTTGTTGAGTATAAAATATTTGAAAGTTAATCTCATTAATTTCAAATATTGTTTTTCAACTCAAATACATAGATTATAAGATAAGGATATTTTCGAATATTTTATTTTTTTTAATTTACATTATGTGTCGTTTTTAAAAAATTATTATTACTAACAAACTGATATGATATTCGAATTTGAATTGGAATGCAATTTGAGTAGTTTGCATTGAGGTAAACCAAGTATGGTGTCAAAAAATAAACTACTTGACAATTTTAAGACAATATATGCAATATTTTATAATAATAATCAACTAATTTAACATTTAATGATTCAAAGAACAAATTTTTTGTATATATAGGATATTAAAAATTCAAATTCTGGGGCTAGAGATATCGATAAACTTAAAGTGGAGTCATACTGACATAAATCCGGCCAAAGAATCATTTAAATTTTGAGATAGCCGATTAAAGTGAATTTAAAATTAAGGATAATATCTTCACTTGCATCATTATAATATATGTAAAGTTTTAGAAATTGAAATTTCAAAATAGAAATATTTTTTGAAAGGTAAAATCATACCAAATAAGAGTTCAAGCCGTAGTATAAGAGGCGTAATCAAAAAATCGTTTATATCGTGTCAACCTTTGTGTTTTGCCATAAATATGAGTTATTATTTCACTTTCTGGCTATTTTTAGGTTCCAATGAAACCTATGAGAATAGTGCAAAAATAAAATTATCACTACGAGAATTGAGAAAATGTTAGTCTTTTTCATGTAGTGTTTCGTAATTAATATCTGACGATTATCTATAATTATTTAGAAGATTTAAATGTTAAGGTTATTTACATATAATTCAAATAACTCAGATATTTAACATGGTTAGTGTCAAATATCAAAATGGAGTAAAAAATTCACTAGCTAAAGAATTTTTTATATTTTTAGATAGTCAACTAAAATAAGTTTTGAATTAAGAATAACATTTTCAATTACATTATTATAAAAATAATTATTATTGAAAAATAATGCTTTAGAAACTGAAATTTTAAGAAAGAAATATTTTTTTAAGAGATATCAACACACCAAATAAGAGTTCATGTAGTAGTAAAAGAGTTAAATCTTATCCAAAGAGTCATTCATTGTCTCAACATTTGATTATTTTGCCATAAATATGAGTTATTATTTGCTTCCTGACTATTTTTAGGATCCAATGACACCGACAAGAATGATATCAAAAAAGAAAAATAGAATGAATGGTTAATTTTTTTCCATGTAGTTAATATCCAATGATTATCTATATTTACTGAAAAAGTATAAATTTTAAGATTATTTACGTACAATCCAAATAACTTAAATATTTGACATGATTAATGTCCGCGTATCCGCACAGGTACTAATACTAGTATAGATATTAAGCTCAATGTGAAAAGCAAGAGGGCCCAATAAAGTAATCATTAACTAAATATTATCTGCACTTAAATAGGTCATGGATTGATAGCCAAAAAAGAATTAATTGTAAGTTTTTAATGTACCAAGGATAATATTAATGTTCTAATTTGTTACTATTCGATAGCCAAACAAGACCTATTCCTCTCTCATAGTCTCTTCTGTTCCATAGCACCAACACTCAGAAATTGGGTGTCACGTGATAACTGCCATTTTCAAGGACTATCTCGTGGTTTCTGGTATTCCGACAGGCGAATTAGCCGTTTTCCGGCGAAACCCCATAATGGAGAAAGAGCCTCTTCTCCCTTATGTCAGCACCAGAACACCACCCCACCCACCCTCATACCCAGCCCCTATTTCCCTTTGCCCTTTACCTGAAGACAATGAAATCTCAATCCCTCCCCCTCTTACCCCTTCTGAACTCAAAGAACGCCTTATCTTTGGTACCTCTGAAGCTTCTGCCACTGCTCTTGACGCTTTCACCTTTAACAATTTCACCTCTCCTGAGCTCTCTGCTTCTTCTTCTTCTTCTGCCCAAAAATCCAATCTTGAAAACACTGATATTCACAATTCTTGGTTGCTTGACCCAAATTATCCTTCTTGGACCAAGAGTAATCTTCATAGGTCCAAAACTGCTCCAGCTATGGCTACTATTAATGATATTGACCATTCACCAGATCCTAAGCCACCCCAGTTTGGTAAAAACACAATTGTAGGACAAGGTGTTGTGCTTTTGATTCTTTACTTGACTCTTGGTGTGGGTATTTATTCTTTATTTAGGGATCATTTTAAGGCTACTGAGACTCACCCTGTTGTTGATGCTTTGTATTTTTGCATTGTTACTATGTGTACTATTGGTTATGGTGATATAACTCCTGATAGTACACCTACCAAGTTGTTTTCCATCTTGTTTGTGCTTGTGGGGTTCGGGTTTATCGATATTTTGCTTACTGGGATGGTTAGTTATGTGCTTGATTTGCAAGAGAACTATCTGTTGAGGAGTATTAAAAGTGGGAGCGTACATGATGCTAGGTCTTATATTATTGATGTGAAGAAGGGGAGAATGAGGATAAGAATGAAAGTGGCTCTGGCATTGGGTGTTGTGGTCCTGTGTATTGGAATTGGGGTTGCGGTTATGCATTTTGTTGAGAAGCTTGGGTGGTTGGATGCATTTTATTTGTCAGTTATGTCGGTTACCACTGTGGGGTATGGCGATAGAGCGTTCAATTCAATGGCCGGTCGTATCTTTGCATCCATTTGGTTGCTTGTGTCTACACTTGCAGTTGCTCGAGCCTTTCTTTATTTGGCTGAGGCCAGAGTAGATAAACGTCATAGGAAAATGGCAAAATGGGTGCTCGATCAGGATTTGACTGTTTCACAATTTCTTGCTGCGGACATTGATAATAATGGATTCGTGAGGTAAAATTTGTCTTTTCCTCTTGAAATTATTGCTATTTGTCTTAAAATAACTTCATAAGTTTTTACTCTATTTGCTGATACTTGCCATAGTCAAACTCAAGGAATCTGTAGATGAGATATATGCTTGGATTTTACCTTTGAATGTAGTGTCATATAATTTTGCCCTTTAGACTTTAGTTGTTTGCGTCTGTTGGAACCTGAGTTTTGACGCAAACAAATTAGTCAAAACTCAAATCTGTAGTTCGCCTAGAATACTAATTTGTGGATGGGACCATTCATTCGATCAATTTGGCAGAAAACACAAATACCTGGTAGATTGTGGATCTCTTGGAATTATTATGTAGGAAAGCTGATTTGTCTTTTTTGCCCCTTAATTTTATAAGCGAAAGAGTAAGTGAAGTAGCTATGAGTAAACACGACAAGATCCTATTTCTTAGACTTAAATGCTTTTCAGGTTTTATGGCTAGTATACTTTACTGTCTAACATCACACTTAGAATACTGAATTCAGGGTGCAGTAGTAGTAGGTGAACTCTCTCACGTTCAAGAAAAGGTACAGAAGTTTTCTGTTCAAACCAACTGAAAAAAGAAATTGGTCAATGTTGAGAGGGTAGTGGTTCATTGGAATCAGGTGGTAGGATATATATTGGCTTCATTCCTTGTAAGAGAGAATTTTTCATCATTAAAGTAGATGGAACAAAGGAGTAGGGTATGGTCATGTGCGTAAAAGCTTTTATCAAGGATTTATTCGTTGGCGAAGCACAGAGCTTATATTTTTAATTGCAGATTTCCTTCCTCTAATGACTTGCTCTGTTTTTGTTGCTTGACGTGCCTTTTCAGAATTTAATGAGCATAACTGAATAATATAGATATCTAAGGAGAGAAAACATATTCCATGTTGAATCTTGATGTTTAAAGAGTTAATACTTATGGTTTAGGAAGTACACTGTATCTGGTATATGTTAAATCTTTTGCATTCCTTCAACGTATAGAAGGAAATTTCCTAGTTTGTACTCTTTCTGGTACTTTCTTGGTACTCTTTAATGAAATGTATTACTTTTTCCATTAAAAAAATCCAAGGAGACATGTATAAAAAAAATGTAGATAATTAAGGAGACACTGAGCTTGATATGTGCTCTGAGCCCGTGCAAGCTTATCTCCATGCTAATGCTTGACCCATGTTTAGCAAGTTGTGAAATTTGGAAAACACATGCATAAGACCGTGTTGGATCTACGCAGATTACAAATGATTGCTTGAATCGTGAATTTGCCAGTAGTTGCCATCCAAGATTCGGTCTGACTTAATTTGTTGACATCGGTCCATTCGGAAATGCCCTTGCTTGAAAATGCAAAATAACCTATGCGAAATATAACGTCCCTTAACCTAATTCAGAGAAAAGGCACAGTACATGGTACGTAGAGATGAAAAAAATCCTCTTTGTTGCACCTCCACTTTCTTATATATTTGGTTCTTTTGCACTTAAAGTGACCATGCTGATCATGAAACTTATTTGTTGCCAAGCCTGGTCATTTTAGATTCACTCTCACAACTTGTCTGTGCTGTACGAACTGAAACTGTATTTACTGTTTTACCTCCAATGCAACCAATGCTTTGATCTTGATCTTCCTGATGTTTGTATATTTGGTTGGTATTTGTCCTCCTTTTTACAGCTTTCAGAGATATGCTAGCCAGATGAATTTAGCATAGAGAAGTTACTAGAACTTGAAGAAGTTGAAAGCATGTTGATTTTTAAGTTTAGATGCAGAAATAGGCAGAAACTGCGACCATCGTACATATGAGTGTATAAGATTCTAGTTAACATGCAGAGATAATTTAGCTTTTCCATTCCATTAATAGAGCACCAAAAGGGTAAAATGTGGTTTTGGTTTGATTTCTGCCTGCAGCTACTTACTTTTTGAACCTTTATACTTGATTTAGTCCTGTTTAGGAAGAAGTCTAAACTTTTAGATATGTAAGATCTATACATCATGTAAGCTCTCCAAAATCCGGGTAGTTAAAGTTGTTAATGACACTTCTCGTAAAAATTGTTTCAGTTTATGAGATGCACTTGTATGAGTTACATATTTTGATAGCTTCAGATTTCATTCCCCTTCTCTCCTTTTTGTAATGCTTCCTTTCTTATCTTTTTATCCAGTTATAGTATTGCACACAGTCATCATGTATCAATAGCTATATTAAATATTATAATTTGTTCAGGATGAAATAAAAATCATTCCAGAGTACATTGATCTACAATAAAAAAAAAGAGGCACCAAGTTAGGAAGATAGGAGGATAACACATGACAGCCAGAGTAAAGTAAATTAGTCCAAAAATATTACCATCATTTTGAATTATATCAAAGAGTCATTCTTTTTATTGCTGTAGTAGCTAGTATACCTTGTACAGACATTATCAGTAATTGTTAAAATAACCTGAATATGCCTGCCATAACTTTAGTAGCTTACATAGCTCGTAATAAGGTGTACTTCTTAGGAACCCTTAATGATAGTAATAAGACATTAAAGACGAAAAAATTTAGTGATTCGGTCAATTTTAACTTTAATTGTTTGAGAGGAGCATACCGACTTTATCCAGAATATATAACAAAGAGTACGGATTTAGAGTCGATAATCTAGTTAACCCAAACCAGAGAGAATCACCTTACAAAGTTCACTCATAAAGAGGTTTGCACAAAGTGTTTTCAATACTGAATTTTCTCACAATATTACTCTTTACAAGATCCCAAAAGGGGAAATAACAAGAGACAAGACTGAAGAGTTGAGTTAATGCGTGATATCTGATAGATAAAACATGCCCATTTATAGGCAAGAACTAGGTTAGTTCTACGTCTTGATCCGCGAACTGCCAGACATCCACTCCACTCTACGGTTATATGGTCTGCAAGACATTAACTTAATCAAAGTAGGAGCCATTAAGAATAATCTTCATCAGAAACAAAGTTCCTGATCCAAAAAAAAAAATCTTCATCACAAGCAGGCTTGGTCCCATAATTTGAAGGCGGCAGGTGCACCATTACGGTTAACATACACCTAACAATGGCCTTAAAGTGTGTGAGTGGAGTGTGTTTGTTCGGTTCGGTCTGATTTGGTTTCATTAGGTTTGGTTTTTGATTCTTTTTGAGTTAATTCGTTTCGTTTTATTTGGTTTTGATTGATTAATATGCAAATTGATCACCTCATCGAAATGAATTCGATATGATTTTTCTGGTTCAACTTTTTATTCAGTTCAGATGGCAACTATCTCTACTATGCACTGTAGTAACATTTCCATGGTATAAGGATGAACTAACATGGACCTTTCATTATCTAGCTTTGTTGCTATTAAGAATATGTTACACACTAGAAGGGATTTACTCATGCAGTACGCCAATTAGCAAGATCATTTCAATAATCTGCTATCTTTAACTTGAGGGAGAAGAGTTTTTGCTAAGAACCATGATACTTGATCCTCAAGTTGCTTATTAAAGGTGATAGCTCAAGATTCTTGGAGCATTTTCAGTGAACTTATTTAACATAGCTAAGCTAACAGCTTAAATATGCTTCTTGTGCTAGGTCTGTGTCTTTTGAAATACTTGCAAACTCTCATCTCATGGATAAACTTTGGCATGCTTGTCCCTGTTTATATTCATGGGCTTATTCTGATCCCACTAGCAAGAGAAGAGGGACCTAGCTTATGAACCAATCAACTACGTAGATCAGTTATTTTAAACAGCCCTAGCAATTGTTCAGTGGTACTGATAGTTAAAGTCGAGTGTTGGTCGTAGTAAATTTAATCAAGTTATTTAGCTAGATGAGTGTCTTTTGTTTTGCTGCTTTTGGGTTGAGACTGCATAGAACTTCAGGATCTCTGCCTTTCACATTCAAGAATATGCCAGATTGATTTCTGACCTGTACCCAAGTATAGATAGTTGATGAATCATTTTACCTACTAATTCAAGGTATGGTCTAACCACATACTAAAGGTCAGTAAATATCTTTTGTACACGTTCCCGGATCAATATTGGCAGAAATGCACTGACTCCATGGAATGCTTAATAACTTTAATACAACTAAATAAAGTTAATAGGATTCCATGGACAAGGGGAAACCTTTATACTCCTATGTTATATGAACAGTCTGGCTAGAGAGGAACGGCAAATGTTTTGAAGGGGAAAAAGACCATATTTCATATGTAAAATACAAATGTAAAGAAAAGTTACTCTTTTTCTGGAAAATTTTGTATATAGCCTGACAAATATTTTGTTAGACCCTCTGAAGCTTGTGGAGGACAAGTCCTTATTTTTGTATTTTTTTTTTCTGCACTTTCTTGGACTTTTTATCAGTAAAATAGCTTATGTTATAAAAAAAATTATTTAGTTGCATCTACTGTCTTGGGAGAAATTGGCGTTTCATGCCTAAATAAATACCGAGTTTTGGTGTCATATAAATCCAAACTATTCTGTGGAGATGTTGCCAAGAAATGAGTCATAAGAAATATTTAGTTTAGCTTTTCCCGTCTCTTGAATTTAACTGCTATTTCAAAATTTAATTGGAATTGTCAAATTATCTGAATCCTCTTTTCCAGTGACTGCCATGAATATTTGTGTGGGTATAATTGGGTTTATGATTTTTGGGCCTTTCTGTGAAGCTGTGCGATGAAGCTAAGGTAGCTTGAGTTCTTCTAGTCTTAACCCAATCATGAGAGTGTAGAGTGCATGCCTCTAATATAATTGCGAGGTAATTTGACTTTCCATCCGAAGTTCCAATTTCTTTTCTTTTGAGCGTTCGAGGTTCCAATTTGCCATCTAGTTTTCGAATGTGCAATCCTGTAACCTTTCTGTTCATAACTCTCAAGTGGTGCACAAAATTTTTAGTGTATCACCTGCAATCAGAGGCGGATCCAGGATTTGAGACTTATGAGTTCCTACCGTAATTTTAGATTAATATGCAATAATAACTGGGTTCACAGTTAGATATTTATAAATATTTAGTGAATTTCTTAATATAAATACATGGTCTATGCAAAAGTTAATGGGTTCCCGAGAACCCGTATTCTATGCTCTAGGTCCGCCCCTGCCTGCAATTTGAGCGTTTTTAATTAGATAAGTAGTCACCTGAAATTTAAACACAAAGTGGGAATTGCATAGCATATTTAAAAAGGTAGTATAAGAGTATCTGGTTTAGTTGAGTTGTTTGCCAAGCTGAATGAAGGGTTTTTTAGATTGTACCTGATATGTTTATAGATAATTTTTTTTTACTGTATGATTACTGCAGTTTGTTGTTTAAACTACTTGCTCTTTCTTTGATCAACTGTCAGAGTCGTTTGTGGCTTAAATTCCCACTAGTCCTAGTTGATTCTTGAACTATGCCTACTGGAATTTTGATTATATGGTTATGAGAAATATGCGGCTATGCCTGCTTTTGCACGTGTCAGTGGATTGATTTTGCATCTTCTCTGTGTTGCAGTAAAGCAGAATATGTGATATACAAACTGAAGGAGATGGGGAAGATCTCAGACAAGGATGTAATGCTGATTTGCAAACAGTTTGAACGGCTGGACGCTGGCAACTGTGGAAGGATTACTCTTGCTGATCTAATGGAAAGCCACCACCATTGAACGTTTAATTGGCGGTTTTTTATTGGATTGTAGGGAGAGGAAAAAACATGAGTTGCAGCATTTAGGATTGGCAACTGGACAGGGCAGAGAAAAATTTCTTAGTAAATATGGCCTGGTGGAGAAATTGGGAAACCTGAGTTCCCTAGTTTTATGGGAAGGGTGCTCCATTCTTGCTGATGAGATGTCTTGTTCTAAAGTGCAGAGTTTCTGATGAAGTAAGAATGAAAAATTTTGTAAGTGTCTTGGAAATGCAACATTGAAAATCTTGCAAAGTTCTGAAGCCAGAAAAATTTATTTGTATATAACTATATGATAAAAGTAATCTTAGAGAGGGAAAAAAAAATGATATTCTCAGTATGATACATAATTAAGTATTTTGGGGAACTATACTTTTGAAAAGCACTTATATAACGTGCAATTTTATAATATTGGACTGAGACGAGCTTAAAGGAAGCGACATGGACAATGATCTTGCATATAGGGTGTGTTTGGAACTAAGGAAATTTTTCTCATTTTTTCCTTGTTTGGTTGACTTAAATGTTTTGAAAAATATTCTCCTCATGAACTCATTTTTCTTAAATTGAAGGAGAATGTTTCCCTATCAAAAGAAGGGAAATTATTTTCCAAAACTCTTCCCTTCCCTACCCTATTCCCCATCCCCACCCCCTCACACCCCACCNTAAGAGTACTTTCTTTTCATGTTTTAGATAGAGTATTTTTTTTTTAATTTCTAACAAAATGAGTATTAATTTTTTCATAATATAAAAGAGTATTTTCATTCATTTCAACCAAAAGTACTTTCTTTTCATAATGTAGAAAAAAGTATTTTCCTTCATTTCAACAAAATGATGTAGTAAAAAGTATTTTCTGTCATTTAAACAAAGTGAGTATTTTCTTTTCAAGATGTAGAAAAAATATTTTCTCATTTTAACAAAATGAGTACTTTTTCATGTTGTAGAAAGAGTATTTTTTTTTCCAACAAAAAAAATAGTATTTTCTTTTTAGTTATGTAGCACAAATTTTAAAGTTATTTTTGCGTGAAAGTAAAGCACCACATTAGTCCCTTTGGATTTGTGTGAATTTTTAAAAGAATAATTTAACTCTTGAAGAGAAATAAAGGCCGCAAAACGTTGGGTATTTGGGATTTTTTTTTGGTTGTGGGGGGAGTAAGGAAAGTAGCATAAATTTAATTTGAAGTTGTAGTATAATCCAATTTGCTAGAAATTCAGAAGTTGTAGTTAGTAGTAGTACATATATATCTTGGTTGCCAGGAAGGGAAGGAGATCCTTTTTGGTATTTGAAAATGATTTTTCTTTTCCCTTCAAACAAATACATCTAAGTCTGCGATATTTATAAAAGATCGTGAACAATAGGAAAAGTTTCGAGAAAATAACATTGTATAACCGTTGTAAAAATAATAGCCGAAAAATCGTATAAAATTTGTATATATATATAGATTTTGTATGTTATATAAGAAAATTATACACTTTTTCGGCTACCATATATAAATAATTTGCGACATGGGCTAAAAGTGATAACACCCGAAATTTTTTATTTTCTATCAATTTTCTTGTCATCCCATTAATGCCTAAGCGCTAGATTATTCACCAATTCGAGTGCTAATTAGGTCCAAATCAGTAGCATATGCATCTGACAAGACTTGTTGATGTTTTTTGACCTTTTCTTTTTGGGATGATTTAAAATGATTTACCTATATGAAGACTTAACTTAGCAATGGGGTTCGGAAAGAAAAACTTGGCAATGGGATGAAAATACAATTTCAACAATCATATGCATGTATATTATATATATATATATATATATATATANAATTAAGTTTCCAGAAAATACGAGGTATGTGGTCTTCAAAGACCTTGACTAGTGGACAAAGACTTGGAGTAGAAATCTATACCATTCAAAAGATTATAAAATGGAGTATTTAGTATGTGAAAATAAAGGGTGCAGTTGCACTATGACCTGACCTTGTCTATTTTTTCTCCAAAAATTAGTATTTAGATTATTGTGCTACTTGATGGTTGTCAACTTTATTTTTCTTTGTAACTTTCTTGGAGGTCTACGTTCTATTATAAAACTATACAATAAAGTAATTATGTCAGGTAAAAAGGAGAAATATTTATTCATACATAAGCAGTCAATTTCATCACTGAGCATATGATAGGAATCCTAGATATTTAAAGTAAGATTAAAGAAATTATTGGTTAACAAAAAATGGAGGAGGAAGAATGCCAAAGTAGTTAGAATTGGTCAAAAATATTCTCTAAGTGAGTCTATTAGAATCTAATCGTCCCAAGACCCTTCACACTTGGGCCATTATTGGCTTATAAACAAGAAAACAAGGGGGAAAATCAGAAATATGGGGATTGAAAAATGCTACAATTTCAAAAGTAACTCAAATTTATTTATTTTTTCACATAAAGATAAAATCGGTACAAAAAACACTTAAAATGCGGAAAACTTCCAGCATAATATGTTGGAGTTCAAATTTTTTACATATGAGATTCCAGCATAATGTGTGTTGGAATTCCAACATAATATGTTGGAAGTTTATACGCAGGAGCTCCATAATCCAACATATAATGCTGGAACTTTTCGTGTTTCATTTTTGTCTGAATTTTATCTACGCATAAAATAGTGATTATTTTTCAATGACTTTGCAAACGCAGACTATTTTTTTTTTATTATAAGTCCAAAAACTGGCTAGACCATGCTATTTTCACATAAAACAAGTAGGAGATAATGCACAGATATTGTGTTCTAGCTCAATTAGTTTGTATAATTGATTTCTTTTCTTAAAAAATTGAATGAAGCATCTCATGTTGTTTAAGAATTGAACATGTTGACTAATACACAACATTCCAAGTGGAGTAGATGGATCTTGATGATTGGAAATGTTGACTTTTGAGAGTTTTGACTCAATATGTTAATGAAATAATATTATTGTAAATAAAAATAAAATATTTCAGGATGGGCACCAATAATGCGGCGTGAATAGAATTCATTAATAATTATTTGCATAGTAGTTATTTTGAAGGATATAATTGTTATTTAAAAATGAAATATACATAAGCAAGACTATCATTGGTTCATATGTCTCAAAATGTAATGGAATTTAAACTAACTCCTGACTAATTGGAAATTAAGGAGGTAAAGAGACATATATGGTCGTTATATTTTCACATCATATAGAGAGGATTCTAGGTTAATATTGCTTAGAATGTTTGTTTATCTTTTATTTCTGACCTAAACTTTCTATCATTACCGAAAGAAAGTTATGAGTGGAATAATAAAGAGGAGAGAGTTGCAGTTTCAAAGTTCACTACTGACTGACTGCTTTATGAAAGATAGAAGATTTCAAAATCATAAAGTATATGGTAGAGGAAAGGGAGAAAGTAGCAATTTATATGACTCTCATAATGATTTCATCTCCTTTACATTTTATGCCAAAAAGGGGAGCGTCATCCTTTATTATATGATTACCAGAGCCAACAGTTTTGGTGAAGAAAATTTTTATTCATCACCAGACAAAGGACAAAAATATACATCATACAAGAGCCAAAATAGCACCTATAGATATTAACACTATACAGGCTTATTTACACTTGCCTATCATTTTATTTTTTTTGTCAGAAAGATAACATATATTACTAATGAATACGTACAGAGAGTTGGGACCTAACTGGTTCCCTATTACAAGCCGTAGTGCTAGATTCAAGCCATAAGTTACTACTACTATTTACAGTTGTCATGGTTATCCTATTGAAATTATCATCATGACAACTACTTACATCATAGGATAGTTGAGCCATGTTGCTACTATCATTATGCCAAGAATTTTGCTGGCCTGACTGACTCTGATCCATACAGGCCTTATCTCTTTCAAAAACTGGTGCAACAAAAATGGGAACAGCTTCAAACACTCTTGGCAACCATGCATCTCCAAAATTGTAGTCTACTTTAGCTAGTTGGTCTGCTACCATATTTTGCTCTCTGCACGCATGTTTAACTGCTGGGTTACCTAGTAGGCCCAGATAATACCTGCAATCAGCAATTAAGTTAGAGAGGGCAAAATTTTCAGTATGAAGTAGTAATATAATATCCTTTGCATCCACCTCCACCTCAAGAGGTGTGATATTTCTTTCATATGCATATCTCAAACCCTGCATCAATGCATAAAGTTCTAAAAAAATGACAGATTTACATGGAGCAGCTCCCGCAAAGCCCAAAATTTCTTATTACAGTATATAAATATCTCAGCCATATCCTTTCATCATCCTTCTTCCTTCGATCCTAACATTCACTCATCTGGTAATTTACACTCGTCCTTCACTTGATTGCATAGGCTTTGTGGTCGTGGGAAGGGACGTCAATTGTTCGGTTTGGTCGGTTGTTTTATAAAATTTGTACCATACCAATTTCGGTTATTTAATTATGTATAATTAAAATTAAACTTTTCGAAATCGTCCTAATCATGTTAGTTTTTCTTCGGCAATGGTACGGTTCGGTTAATTTTCGATATTTTTTTAAATCTCATGTAAAAAATACTAGTAAAAGTAGAACGCAATAACATACATACTATTATAGGACTTAGCAAAACTCTCTAGACAATTTTACTTAGGGATGTACTAGCCGAACCGGAAACCGCACCAAACCGAAAAATAAAACCAAACCGACTAAAAAATTTGAGTAGGTTTAGTTTGATTTGGTTTGGTATTGAGTAGTAAAATTCGAACAAAATCGGTATATAAATATATAATTTTTATATATACTTTTAAGACCTTTTATAGAATTTTCTTTAAAAAATGTCTAGAAATATTTGCGATTCTCTTATGGGATGTAATATTTAGTTAAATATGAAGTGCTCCATATTTATTAACTTTAAATAATGGGTTATATGATCACTTTCTAATCAAGTGTTAGTGAAATACGTTAATCTCTTTGTTCTTCCATATTCATACATCAAGATCTATTGAATTCTTATATCTTTTTTGCATTTGAAATGATATTTCGATAATTTAAAATTAAATAGAACATATTATATAGGTTCATATTTATTTTTATGTTTAATAATTAAATTCGGTTAACCTTGAAAGTGTACATCAACGTAAAATTATTGTTAGATGACTAAAAAATAACTATCATGTGTTACTAAGAAAGTTTTTTCATAAAAATATTTTGATAGATCATATATTTGTCAAATATTTTTAATTCTTACAATATATATTTATTTATAAAAAATACAAGGTAAGATTGAAATAATGTTCATATAACAAAAAAAACCCCGAAAACTCGACAAAATCAAACCAATCCAAACCGATATAGTTGGTTAAGTTTGATTTTGATAAAAACCGAACCAACCCGCTCCATGTACAACCCTAGAC